ATGTATGAATGTATGAATGTATGAATGTATGAATGTATGAATGTATGAATGTATTAATGTATGAATGTATTAATGTGTGTAAATATGTTGGTGCGTATGCGTACGAGTGCCCATACAAAATGGCTTTACCGTAAGCATTCTCAAGACGGGACTTTGTCAGAAGGTGATAAGTAGATCCAAACTGTCTACATTTCATAGTCAGCTTTTGCTGCCTCCGAATGCCAGCCAAACGGATTGCTATCCTTCACAGTTGCTACTTTCGAACAGACTTTCATTGCTTTCTTAAGCTCATCGTCTAATCAACAAATGTACTGTCATTTGGGATTGCTTCACTGCGTGAATGTTCAATTAAATTACTCGATCAATTCATGATCGGTTGAGTAAATGAGTAAATCAATGACTGACTGTATGATCAAACAACTGGCTGACTTGTAGATTGAATAATTCAATTACATATTGTCTACATAACAGAATGAATTACCGACTTGATGGACTAATGCAAATCTAAATGAATGATTGAACGATTGAACAATTCAACGATTCAACGATTGAATGTATGCTCAATTGGAATAAGGTGTAAATGTGCGTTGAATTGCATTAATGCATGTTCTGTTAACAGTTGATTTTATTTGTGCCAAAGTCCTGGCACTCATTAATTCTCAAAGCAAAGCCACAGCAACGGTTGCGCACATGCTAGGCGCATGTAGACGTAGTGTCGTATCTCATTATGCTTAAATATTTATAAATAGACAAATACGCACCTGAGACGAAGGTCAGAAGAGTTGGGCAGAGGTTGTGAGAGGTTGTGAGAGAGGGCCATGAAAAGACAGATCAGTCCAGCAGACACGGTACAGAATAGCACTTGGCCTTACGTCGCTTGGAGACGGGCTGTTGGGCAGTGCAAGTGAAGTTGTGAAGTTGTAAAGTTGTAAAGTTGTAAAGCTGTAAAGTTGTGAAGAGGTGATGTTGCCTGTAGGCCCACGGCTGCACACAACCAAGCATGTGTGTGTTTTTGTGTGTGCATTCATGCTGTTGTAGACACTCGGCAACCATATGCTGCTGCGTCTAGCTATGCTGGTGTGCATGGATAGACTGATGCTGTTTCCGTTTGTCTTTGTCTTCATGCTGATTGGCCTGTTGGGCAGACATGAGTGTA